TGTGAGCAGGTGCCAAGTCCTGCTGGAAAATGAAGTCAGCATCCCCATAAAGCTCGTTTGCGGAAAGAAGCATGAAGTGCTCCAAAATCTCCTGGTAGACGGCTGCGTTGACCCTGGACTTAATGATATATTAGTTTTACCTTTTAAGTTGCATTACTGAAATAAATGAACTTTTGCACAATATTCTAATTTTTCGAGTTTCACCTGTACATATGTCAGGATGTCATGTACTAGCACAGAATACTAAAGCAGAACTAATCTGCTGTGTGAACTATGTCTGAGCTCTAGACCGATTGTGCACACTTACCTCACAGTGCCCTCCTACAGATGTGACGGGTCCAACCTCTAGTTGCCACTCTGTCCAACTAATGTTTTAAAGGCTGATTTCCTTGCAGGCTGCCACTTACTACTAACTATTTGGTGCAAATGTTTTAGGCAGGTGTGAAGAACGCTTTCAAAAAATATATATTTTAATTGTTTATCTTTATTAATATACAAAATGGAAAGTGAGCAAACAGAAGAAAAATATAAATCAAATTGATATTTGGCGTAAATACCCTTTGGCTTCAAACCGGCATCACTGCTTACACTTGCACACTCTGTACACTTGTACAAAGTCAGGGAATTTGTAGGGTTTGAGTCAGGTGTATGATTAACCGATTATACCAAGCAGATGTTAATGATCATCAAACATAGTGAGTAAATGAAGCAGAAACAGCTGTGTATGAGGCTTAAAACTGGGTAAGGAACAGCCAAACTCTGCCATTAAGGTGAGGTTGTGGTTTCATGTCACACGTCAAACGTCACCAAGCCTTAGCACAGCAACAAAACACAAGGTAGTTATATGGCATCAGCAAGGTCTCTCCCAGGCAAAGATTTCGAAGATATGCTGTTCATGCTCTTTTGAAGAAACTGGCCACCTTGAGGACCATAGGTGCAGAGGCCAGCCAAGGAAACCTAATGCAGCAGATGAAAGACACATCATGCTTGCTTTCCTTTGACATCGGAAAATGTCCAACAGTGCCATCACCACAGAATTGGTGGAAACCAATGGGGCCCAGGTACACCCATCTACTGTCCGGAGAAGTCTAACCAGAAGTGATTTTCATGGAAGAATTGTATCCAAAAAGCCATACCTTCAGCTTGGGAACAAGGCTAAGCGACTCAACTATGTACAAAAAGATAGGTACTGGGGTGCAGAAAAATGGCAGCAAGTGCTCTGGACTGAAAAGTAAAAATTTTTAAATATTTGGGTGTAGCAGGAGGCAGCTTGTTTGCAAAGGGCAAGAGAGCAATAAAATATTGAGTGTCTGCAGGCAACAGTGAAGCATGGTGAAGGTTCCTTGCACGTTTTGGGCTGCATTTTTGCAAATGGAGTTGGAGATATAGTCAGGATCAATGGTGTCTTAATGCTGAGAAATACAGGCAGATACTTATCTATCATGCCATACCATCAGTGAGGCATTTAATTGGCCCTACCTTTATTCTGCAGCAGGACAATGACCCCAAACATGCAGCCAATGTCATTAAGAACTGTCTTCAGTGTAAAGAAGAACAAGGAGTCCTGGAAGTGATGGTTTGGCTCCCACAAAGCCCTGATCTCAACATTATTGAGTCTGTATGGGATTACATGAAGTGACAGAAGGATTTGAGGCAGCCTACATCCACAGAATATCTGTGGTTAAGTCTCCAAGATGTTTGGAACAACCTACCTGCTGAGTTCCTTCAAAAACTGTGTGCAAGTGTACCTAGAAGAACTGATGCTGTTTTGAAGGCAAAGGGTGGTCACACCAAATATTGATATGATTTGAATTTCTCATCTGTTCATTTACTCTTCAATTTGTTAATTGATAAAAATAAACAATTAATACTTCTATTTCTGAAAGCAATCTTAATTTACGGCATTTTTTCACACCTGCCTAAAACTTGCACAGTAATATATATACATAATTAAGCAAATACAAAGAAATAAGAATTTGAGTTCATGCATGCCAGACAGTGCACATTGTCAAGCGATAACCAGGAGAAAAGTGTTCCTGAAAGGGGAGACTAAAGGCGGGACTTTAATGCAGCTAGACAAGACAATTGTTAGTAGCCATGATAAGCATGTGTCCTTAATGCCTGCTATTGCCCGCTGTCAGCTGACAAGGCAGGGTCGCCCAAGACTCTGGAAAGATCCCAACAATATTGTTGGGATCCACCCACCTGCCTGATTGACAGCTGGCTCCACTTTTCAGCATTGGGCTGAGAGCCAGATCCAGCCACTCCTGCCCCTGGGCTTGCACTGGAGCACTGGAGGACAGAGTGGAAAGCAATGACAGACAGTCACTGCTCTCCGCTTGCAGCAAGCTGAAAACTGAGCAATTAGTGGTCAGTTCTTGGTCTTAGAGCTGGCTCAGGACAGCTGTAGCATAGAGGTGATGATGTTTTTTGTTTTTGTTTTTTTTTAAGCACATTCTTCTCCTTTAAGTAAGTTCCACATATTTAGGATAATTTAATAATGCCAATCAATCTAATAGTGAACTTTGTTGGAAACCATGAAAGTATTAAGATGGTTACAGTGTAGAGTTTGTAGAAAGCAGCAGGTGTGTAGAGTACAGTTGAACTCTCAACATAAATATAATAATCAATCATTCACACTGCGTTTATCTTATCAGGTTTTACCATTTACAAATAATACAGCCTGCTTAAAACAGAACTCTTTCCAAAATAAGTTAAAAACGAATAGCCTATTGAAAGATAAAATAGCACAACCAGCGTTTGCTGAAATATTCTTCTTTAGTCAGGAGATTTCACCTGTAGTACTTTTTTTGCTGCTGCTAGGTGTCTGAAGGCCAGTATTATTTAACCCACTTCCTCTGAGCCCCAGACTGTGACTGGACAGTAAAAGGAGAATCAGCAAAGTGATGGGCTCATCTCTATGTCACTCTGCTCTCTTCTCCTATCAGTATGCTTCTTGTCAGTACATGAACTAATAGTTACCTTGTCCTGCTGCTTTCTTCCTCTTACACTCTGACTTGGTATCAGCTTTTTGCAGTCTCCTGTACAGCAGAGCTATAGTTTGGTGAAGGAGACATAACACAAGGAACCAGGTTTGCTGTAGTGCTCATGTGACATGCTGATAGGAGGAGAGAGCAGTGAGAGAGGGAGATGAGCCCATTATTGCTGCTTCTCCTGATCACAGGCTGGGAGAGGGACCTATTAGTGTTCTTTAACTGAACCATAGAAAAATTTGGTCTCTTTCCCTGTCAGACAGGGATCTGCTCTGTGGCAGATCAGTGTAAGATTTTGAACTGAGAGGACAGAATACATCTGATACATCAAATTGTTTTTTTAAAGTGTCACTAAACCCACATCCTAAAAAAACTCTCAATAAATGCTGGATTACATGCTGTTCATACTCACTCAGTCACTATGGAATTCTTTTTCTGTATTCTGCAACAAACCTGGTTGATCCTTCTGTTCTGTATCCCCTACCTTCTGTCCATGTCCCCACCGCAGTTGGGGACTTTGCAGAGCAGTGTTGGCAGCTGCTGCACATGCTCGGTTTTCAATGAGTTTCTATGCTGAGCATTTCCTCCCTATCACATCTGAGCAGCCCCTGTGAGTCACACATGTGGGCGTATAGACAATGGTAAATGGCAGCCCACTCCCTCCCTCCTCCTCCATGCCCACTAACCAGCTAAACACAATGGGGGTGGGATAATACATCTTGATTGATGGAAGCTTTACCTCCCTGTTATTCTAAGACATAGGCTGGGGGGGGGGGGGGCGTGAAAACGCCTTTGACTGGCAGAAATCTGCCCACACCCTGTTATTGCCACAAATAATAAAGATTTGATATAATAAAATATATACAATATTTGTATGACAATTTAAAATATTTTATTCATATTAATTATTTACTTTTACTCTGTATCCTAAAGGCTTTTTTTTATTTTGAACATATGACCAGCGGCAGAGGACTAGAAGCTCCCCCTACTTATGTTTCCTTGCAGACAGGCTGTGAAAGAGCTGGGTCACGTGATAGCTGTATATTGATTAGTAAGAAAGGTACTTAGATGGGGGGTTTTTTATTAAAAAATGACAGTGCAATCATCCACATGCAGAAAGAGAAGGGATAGATGTAAATTAAACAGTGTGTTTTTTAGTATCACTTTAAAGAAAAATTGTGGGAAACAGTTGATAAAATGTTGAAAATCCTTACCATTCAGGAGAAAAGTCTTAAGGGAATTTTCATGACCTCATCTCATTAATTCAAAAGATAACAGCATCTGCTCTGCCAAGGAGGAGGTGTAACAGCAGGACTTACATCATATCCTCTCCTCATTCTTCAGTAAATGGAAACAACAGTTCCCATCAACCACAGGGATTTGTAGTGAATGTGGGCGGGTACACTAGGCCTGTACATGTTGAACTTGTCTGACAGTTTTTGGTTCACCCCCCACTGCAAGCTGGGTGAATTACATCACTGCTGGAGAAAGAACTACAGAAGGGATGTGCCAAGACCAGTGGCTGGGGGAATAGGAGGCATAGCAGCCACTGGTCTTACAAACAGGAAACCATAGAGAATTAACAGTTTGATCTGAAAATGAATAGGCTATTTCACAGCAACAGCTGAATGAACCAGAAGATGGATGATTTATTCAGTGAAGGTAGGAAATCAGCAAAAAGGACATGTAAAGAAGTTTTTTGCCCGGAGTTCTGCATTAAAGCTAAACTCTAGGCTGAAAAAAAGATACAAATTATTACACCTCTTTATTCATCAATGCATTATTAAATGTAAGTACCTGAGCTTGATCTGGTGTAAGCCTCTTACAAGCTCAGACTGGGGAGAGGGAGAAGCAACACAAGAAGAAACCCAATCTATTGTGCTACAGTAGTAGCACAAAGGTGAATATAACGAAATTAACGAAAGTACATTTGCATACAAGAAAAAGAAGACATTTCTTCGGTGATGAAGTTTTTATAATTATTTCATCTCACCTAATTTAGTTTTTATTTTATTTTTCTAGTGCTGATGATGACATACATTTTGATGATACTGATGGTTTTATGGCTCTTGGGGGCAGCAAGTTTGTTGCCAGCATAGATGGTTTCTTTGGACCTGTGAAATATTATCGCCTGAAGGCTCTGCAAATGGATGAGGTAGGTACCATGTGTGTTAATATCAGCTATAGGCTAACTGTATTTAAAGTCTAGAGCAGCTGGAAAATATCAATTCAACAAAAATGAGTATAGAATTTGCATAAAGTGAACCTGTATTCCAAGTTCCTGAGGGCAGATACCACAAGATGCCCACTATTACTTCAGTTCTGTTACTTAGATTCATTGTGTTACTGGCTCCTGACTTTCCTTGACTTTACCTCAAATGCGCAATAAAAAAAAACAGCCATTGCACAAAATGCAATTGGAACCAGCACTTCTGGTGACATAGAAAGCCAGAAAAGAATAAATTCTGGTCATAGTGACTAAAGTTCTTCTTTATTTTGTCTACCATATTAGCAGCCGTTATAATTACTTGTTAGTTAACCACTTGCCCTCCAGAGGATTTACCCCCCTTCCTGACCAGGCCGATTTTTGTGATACGGTGCTGCGTTACTTTAACTGAAATTGTGCGACCGTGCAATGCTGTACATAAATTAAATTTATGTCCTTTTTTTCCCACAAATAGAGCTTTCTTTCAGTGGTAATTGATCGCCTCTGCGTCTTTTATTTTTTGCACTATAAACCAAAAAATACTGACAATTTTGAAAAAAAAAAACCCCAATATTTTTGACTTTTTGCTATAAAACAAACATATACAGTAAAAAAATAAAAAAAAAAAAAAATTTTGTCATAAATTTAAGCCAAAATGTATTCTGCTACGTCTTTGCTAAAAAAATCCCAATACATGTATGTCAATTGGTTTACGTGGAAGTTATAGTGTCTACAAATGGCGGTATATATACTGGGATTTTTATACTAGTAATGGCAGCGATCAGTGACTTACTGCGGGACTATGGGAGGCATTTTGACACTGGGGGGGGGGGGAACTGACTAAATGCCACTGACATCCCCACTGACACTAATACAGTGATCAGTGCTAATAAAAAGCAGTGACATCTGGAGCGATCAAGGGGTTATTATTATTATTATTATTATACAGTATTTATAAAGCGCCAATAGTTCACTCAGCGCTGTACATTACAAAGGGGGACAGAACATGTGACAGAACAATACCAATACAATGCAAAACATGAGGGGATCGAGGGCCCTGCTCTTTCGAGCTTACAATCTAGGAGGGAGTGGTAGGAAGAGTGGAGGAGGTCAGTCAAGTTAGCAGGGGGTGGGGTAGGCTTCCCTGAAGAGATGGGTTTTCAGGGTGCGCCTAAAGGAGAGGAGAGTAGGTGATAATCTGATGGGTTGGGGAAGGGAGTTCCAGAGGATGGGTGACACCCTGGAGAAGTCCTGGAGGCGGGCATGGGAGGAGGAGACCAGGGAACTAGAGAGAAGGAGGTCTTGTGAGGAGCGGAGTGTTCGTGCTGGGCGGTACTTGGATATTAGGTCAGTGATGTAGTTCGGGGCAGTATGGTAGACAGCTTTGTACGTCAGTGTTAGGATTTTAAATTTGATCCGTTGTGCAATCGGAAGCCAGTGGAGGGATTGACAGAGGGGGTGGCGGAAACGGAGCGGTTGGAAAGGTGAATGAGTCTGGCTGGCAGCCGTATTCCGGATCGACTGAAGCGGGGATTGCCAGCGGCGAGGGAGGCCAGTGAGGAGGGAGTTGCAGTAGTCGAGTCGTGATATGATGAGGGAGTGGATGAGCTGTTTACTGGTTTCTGGGGTTAGGAACGTGCGGATTTTGGCGATGTTGCGGAGGTGGAGTCTGCACGAGTTTGTTAAAGATCGGACTTGGGGCTGGAAGGATAGGTTGGAGTCCAGAATGAGACCAAGTACTCTGGCCTGCAGGGCGGGTTTGATATTGGCGTTGTTGGATGTGATGGAGAAGTCAATGGGGGGTGGGGTTCGGGCTGGGGGGAAGACAAGAAACTCAGTTTTGGAGAGATTCAGTTTAAGGAAGTGGAGCGACATCCAGTCTGATATGTCGCTCAGTAGGTGTGTGATTCGGGCAGAGACCGAGGGGGTGAGGTGGGGGGTTGAGAGATAGATTTGTGTGTCGTCGGCATAGAGGTGGTAGTTGAAGCCGTGAGAGTGTATGAGTTGGCCAAGGGAGGAGGTGTAGAGGGAGAAGAGAAGGGGCCCAAGGACAGAGCCTTGAGGGACCCCAACAGAGAGGGGGAGTGAGGGGGAGGTGGTAGCATTATAGGTAACGCTGAAGGAGCGTTGTGACAGGTAGGATGAGAGCCAGGAGAGAGCAGAATCTCTGAGGCCGAGGGAGTGTAGTATTTTTAGGAGGAGGGGGTGGTCAACTGTGTCGAAGGCCGCAGAGAGGTCAAGGAGTAGGAGCACTGAATAGTGGCCATTAGCTTTGGCGGTTAGAAGGTCGTTGGAGAGTTTGAGTAAGGCGGTTTCGGTGGAGTGTAGGGGACGGAAGCCAGACTGTAGGGGATCGAGGGTTGTTGTCGATGAGGTGAGAGCATAGGCGGGTGCAGACGAGGTGCTCGAGGAGTTTAGATGTAAATGGGAGCAGGGAGATGGGTCTGAGGTTGTGTTGGGTCATTGGGGTCCAGGGAGGGCTTTTTAAGTATGGGGGTGATGTGTCCATGCTTCAGTGGGGAGGGAAAAGTGCCGGAGGAGAGGGAGAGATTAAAGATGTGGGTGAGGGAGCGTAGGATGGAGGGGGAGGGAGATCGTAGGAATTGTGAGGGGATAGGGTCGAGGGGGCAGGTGGTGAGGCGGGCATCAGAGAGGATCTTGGAGACTTCCTCGATGGTAGTAAGGTCAAAGGTGTGGAGTATTGGGGGAGCTTCAGTATGAGGAATGTAGGATGGGGTGGAAGTGGAGGTCAGAGCAGTGGTGGGGCCGTGGGAGAGGGGTGATGAGGGGGTAGCTGAGTGAGGCGGAACGGGGTTGGAGGGAGTTTGAGCAGTGACGAAGTCCCTGCAGATAATGTCGAGGGGGAGGGGGATGAGGGGGTAGCTGTGTGAGAGGGGACGGGTTGAGAGGGCGTGTGAGTAGCGGCAATGTCCTTGCGAATTGTGTCAATCTTGTTTTTGAAGTGATTGGCAATCTCAAGGGCAGTGAGTGAGGTGCTGGGTGGAGGTGGGGGTGGAGAGAGTAGAGAGTTGAAGGTGGAGAAGAGTCGGCGAGGATTGGAGGAGAGGGTCTTGATGAGGGTCAGGAAGTAGGCTTGTTTGGCTGCGTGGAGGGAGGAGGTGTAGGTGTGGAAGGCAGATTTGTAGCGGGTGAAGGCTTGTTGGGATTTTGTTTAGCGCCATAGTCGCTCCAGGACACGACTGTCGTTTGAGGGTTTTGGTGCGATCAGTCTGCCAGGGCTGGAGCAGTCGGGGTCTGATGTTGTGTGTGGTTAAAGGCGCTAGCGAGTCAAGGGCTGTTGACAGCGCGTTGTTGTAGGCAGTCATAGCCAAGTCGGGGCAGGACAGGGGGAGGATGCTGTCATGGAGTTGATCAGCTGCAGAGTGGAGGGGGGGCAGGGTTAGGTTGCGGAGGTTACGGCTGGTAGTAGTGTGACATTTGGAGGGGTATGCGTTGGAGGACGAGGAGATAAAGAAGGTAATCAGGTTGTGGTCAGAGAGAGGGAAGGGGGTGTTAGTGAGGTTGTGGGGAGCGCAGTGGTTGGAGAAGACAAGATCAAGAATATTACCGTTGGAGTGGGTGGTGGATTGTATGCACTGTGCAAGTGCAAAGGAGGAGGTTAAGTGGAGGAGACGGGCTGTGTCTGGGTTGTCGAGGTTGACAGGGATGTTGAAATCCCCAAGAATGACGGTGGGTAGCTCAGAGGAGAGGAAGAAGGGTAGCCAGGAGGAAAAGTCATCCAGGAAGCGGGATATGGATCCAGGAGGCCGGTATATCACAGCAATCTTCAGGGGGGTTGGGGAGAATAGTCGGATGCAGTGGGCCTCGAAGGAGGAGAAGGATAGGGAGGGGGGGTTTGGGAGGATTCGGAAGGTGCTCTGCGGTGACAGGAGCAGACCAAACCCACCACCTTTACGACTGTGTGCTGTGTGCTGTTTTACTGTGTTGTCTGTGTGTGCTTTACTGTGTAAGCATGCTGCTTTGTATTGCTCTGCTATGCTATGCAGAGCAATACAAAGCAGCGTGCTGGTGCTGAGAGGGGAGAGATCTGTATTATGTACATGCAGACCTCTCCTCTGTCACTGTTCCTCGGCGATCGCCGGGCACTGGCAGGGAATCTCTGGCTGGGACCCAGTGACTGACAGCTGTAGCACAGGTAGGGTGGAGCACGAGTACGCCCTCTACCCGGAAATACAAAATCATATATATATATATATATATATATATATATATATATATATATACACACGTGATTTTGCGCAGCCCTGCCACCCTGTAGCAGTACTTCTGCTATAGGTTGATTGGGAAGCGGTTAAATTACATTAATTGTAAATTTATAATTAGGCCTCATGCACACTTCAGCTCAAAAAAGCTGCTTCTTTGCGAGTTTGAGTTTTTTATTTTTCTCCCCTCCATGTTAGCCTATGTGTCCATACACACTAGGGTTTTCAGGAGTTCAGTGGCAGGGGAGGTTTCAGGCAGAAAAAAAAATCACTTTTGCTTGCAGGGGATCTATTGAGCATAAAAAAGCATGCCTTGACGCTAGGCACATTAACGCGCATTCCTGTATTAATACGTTCTAATGGACAGAATTCTGGCTAATAAAATACTTTAATGCCTATGCAAAAACACAGCTTTTTACTGTGTTTTTGATGCTATAAAATCCTGTATGACAAGAAACATTTTGAAGCCTAGAGGTGTGGATGAGACCTTAAAGTCTAACTCCATTCAGAATGTTTTTTTAGGTTAGAATCTCAGTTGGGGTTTATGGTTTTATTTGTTTTTTAAGACCATTTCTTTGAGGACATTTTCCTTTAATACCCATCCTGGTGACATCATTGCTACTAGATAGGACATGAGGGAGAATCTTCAACAGAAACACAAACAGGGATACAAAACCTGATGTGGGATCTAGCCTTTACTGAATGTATCAGAAAAAAAACTTTTAT